AATAAAAAAATAATCAAAAAATAGAGGTCCCCCAAACAAAAAAAATATAGCATTGAAAATGGACCTTTGATCAGCCCCAGACAGTCTATTCATGCTCTGCCAAATTTGTGAATGTTTGGGCAAATAGTTTTCAAATTACGATTTTTTAAAAAAAAAATTAATGCTTGTTGAAAAACAGCCCTGATTGCTTTGTGTTTTGGTGAGAAGCAGTTAACTGAGGAAAAAAGGAGTCAGTTTCTAGATTATCCCCTGCATGATGTCACTTTGTGAATGGTAGTGAGCAGAAGAAGAAATCCTGTAGACCATCTTGACTGCTGCCATTTGTGTTGTTAGCATTCAGGCTGCCCTTTGCTATATAAAGCTTGGCATCCTTTTTCCTGCTGGCATCGTGGGTATGATATTTTGCAGCAGTATCGGGCCACACTTTTTGAATTGTGGGTACAGAAGCACAATATCCCACATTCATAAATTGGAGGGTTTTTTAAAAAAAGAATTGAACTGTAGTCTTCTGTAAAATATCCCCCCCCCCAGGAATGCATTTTAAGTTGCAATCCATGTCACTTACCTGAGCTGCCTCCTATAGAACAAAATAGGACTTGATTCTGCTCAACACAGATGAGAGATGTTGACATTTTCTTTTGTTCAGTAATGCTCTTATCTGTGATATTAATAGTTTTTCCAGCATTTCAAAGAAGCAGGAACACTTTTTTGCATCTTGGCATGCCTTTTTCCAGTTATGCATTCTGTTGTTGTACAAACAGTCCATATATGCTGTGACAGAGGTTTTTGTTTTTGTTTTTGTTTTTAATGATTAAAGAGAGGATTTCTGAAATGACTGTAAAATTTCTAGAATACTTTGTTTTCAGACCAAGGTTTACCATAATCATCTTAATAAGCCTTGACTTGAATCTTGAGGTATTTCTGAATTCTCATGGCATATCTTTTAAATAGCAAGAGTCCTGGGTCCGTCTCCAACTCACTGGGGCTTGATTAGCATTGGCCAGCCAACTTCTGGCAGCCACTACAATTGCATTGCTCCCTACTCACACACTGGTTGGCCAGTCAGAGAACTGGCCAGCCAGGAGGCACAGCTTCCTTGTGAGCTGGCTGTAAGTCTTCATTCCAGTCCACCTCTGGAGTATTTAATTGCCTTCTCAGCTTTTTCTAGCTTAGCTTTCATATACACTTCACCCACTCACCCATTTCTCTGTCCAGTGGGGATGGGCTTGTGGTTTCTCATTGGCTCATTTGGTTCTATGTACGGCTACATGTAAGAATGAGTTTATGTTACAGTTTAGCAATAAGTTGAATCAGTTTATGTACCTTGTAGATTTTCAGTCAGCTTTATTTGGTTTTGTGTACATTTATATATAAATACATATACATAGGAGATTGTTGTGCATATCAGACCGAATCCAGTTTGGGGACTGTGAGAAGCAGGCCCATTTTCCAGGTCAGAGATCCCAGTTGGGATCTTGGAGTGAAGGGTGTGACCAGCTCAAATTGGATTCTCTGTCAGGGAATCCTATCAGTGTTGCCCAGTTTAGTTGCCTTATGCTGTGCCAAGGCTATTTTACTGCTGTAGCCAATGAAACTGTGACCATTATTTATATGCCTTTTGTTAAAATGAGTAGAGCTTAGCATTCCCTGGCATTCCACCTTGGCCCACAAAGCATTCTTTAGCTCCATTGCATATCTCTTTTACAGACTCAGTGTAGCTTCCCACTTTAACTCATGTTTGTCTTTTCATCTCTTCAATTTCAGGATCCAAAGCCCTGAAAATTGCTCTTGGTAAGTAATTCTAGAATAAGATGCTATAGTACACAGCTGTTAAGGGTGGAAAAAAGCAATGAATTTTTAAAAAATAAAATAATTTTTTATTTAAATATAAAAATACTGATGTTTTACTTTAAATCATTTTTTCAGTCAGCTTGGTTTAAATTTAATCCACCTTGCAACCGTTGTTGTTAAACCTAAGTGTTTGTCAGAAATAAACACAAGACACGCAATGATTTATGCCTTTACTTGCTCTTCATATATCAGTCTAACTGCTGAAGACTCCAGCTTGGAGGTTATTGGCAGGGATTCATGGAGTAGTGGGGAGGGGAGCACACAACTGCCACAGTTGGGTGTGTTTTTTCTACTGAGAATCAAGAGCAGGTTCATCCAGCGCCACACATGCTCAGATCTTTGGCTGGTAAAGATTCAAGGACCTGGCTTCAAATCAAGTACAGATTTTTCCCATACTGTTGACAAGCTTCTGATCCCTTTTCCCTTTCAAAGTTCAGTTTCCTGCTCAAGGTTACATACATCCGCCTACAATCATCCTGGGTCTAGTAGTGCCATGTAGCTGAAAAAAAATCATTTCAGTGGCTTTAATATACATTGAAAATTTTCTACAACATTCTGTCTTGTTATTTGTATTAAAACTATTGCATGGTCTGATACAACTGAATAAACTAGAACATCTTGATAGGAAACTTCAGAAGCTGCATATTTTTAGGATGTTTGTTCATTGAGGATTCCTACCGCTACTGTGAAGTGACGTTTATCTGGTACTAGATTCAGAAACAAGAAGTGAAAACAAGCCAACATTCAGATACCGAAGACACAGTCATCAATACCAGAATAAATTCCCACTTGTCAACAATTTTAGTTAGCAGCTACATTTGTATTTTAAATTAAAATCTGTATCATTCTATTTGGACGTTTCATCTCCAGCCGTTCTGGAAACTGCTGTTGAGAACTGTATGGGCTCCTTTAGAACACCAAACTGTTATTTGATTTTGTTTAGCATTACAACAGCATATCACTAGGGTGTTTTTCTTTTTCCCTTCAAGGATTGGTGTTTGGTGTTATAATTCTGGCTGGTATAATTTTTGCATTTGTGAAATATGGACCTTGCTTTAAAACGGGGTGAGTCAACTCAAGAAGAGCTATCTCTCATCCTTTGTAGCCCTTTTCTGGCTGTTTGAGTGAGCATATGCTTCTAATCTTCTCTGTGCCTCCTGTGTAGTCTTCTGTTCTTTGACCAGTCACTAATCCATAAATCTGAGACTTGGAATCAATGCCCAGTTCTCACAATAATGAGTTCCCTTGGATATTTGTAGTGAGACTTGTGCTTTCTCTTTTGTTCATACATAATCTGGAATTAGGAGTTAACAGTGAGGTGGCCAATAACACCAAGTTATTTAGGGGGTTAGGACTAAATGGATTGTAAATAAGTCCAAAAGAATTTCTCCAAACTGAATTAATAGATCTTAACATGGCAAATATATTAGGTATAATTCAGTGCAAAGTGACTTCATTTATATGCTGAAAGCATCTGAGCACGTGATTGATGGGATCACAGACCAGGAAAGGAATTTTGGGGTTGTGATAGATTGCTCGATGAGAATGTCAACCCAATGTCCATGCAATTTGCATAAAGAAAAGGAAATTGTATGTTGGAGATAATTAGACAAGGAATCTATGGTTAAAATAATAATTGTGTGCTTTGATGTTGATTTCAATTTACAGTGATTCTTTTCAGAATTTCCTAAGGTGGACAGTACTCAGTAATCATTTACCATTCTCTTCTTCTTGGGAGTACTCCGGTACTGTACAACTTTCTTAAGGCTGCATAGGTTGGCTCTTCTCCAAGGAGGCACAGTGGGAAATTGAACTCAATCCCTGTCTTTGTAACCAGTTACCACATTCAAAAAGGTTGTTATAAAGCTGGGAAAGTTGACGAAAATGGCAATCAAAATTAACAAGAGAATGGAGCAAAATCCGTAATAGGAGAGGTTTGGTGCTTTTTAGTCTAGATAAAATGCCAGTAAATGGAGACATGGAGCAGAAGTTGGAAAAGTCTCTTCCTGGGCTACAGTTACCACAGTATTCCAGCCAGTATGCCAGCACCATTCTGGTCTGGGGATTTGCAGTCCGAGTTATTTTTCCAAGCTCAAGTGATAAAGGTGTCTATGTGGTCCAGAAAAAGTGAACTGCAGCCATTTATTCCGTCACTCATGAAATTAGACTCTATAATCATCCAGTGAAGCTCACTAGTGGTGGTAGATTCAGAATAGACAAAAGGAAGAAATTATTCACACATATATAATTAAATTGTAGAATTAACTACCGCATGATGTAGTTGTGGCTGCCATTGTGGCTGGATGTAAAAGGGGACTGAAGAAATTCATAAAGGATAAGGCTAGCAATAGCAACAAATCCTAGTGGCTGTTAGAGAACCATTCATGGACTAGCATGTTCCTGTTCATGTTCCTTAGCTATCTGTCAATAACAGATGTTGGGACAAGCTAGTCCATAGATGTGCACTGTAATTTAAAGTCAGAGTTTATAGGCATAACTTTCTGGACAGATTAAAATGAAATTAAATTATTCTGAACATTTCTCTTTCCCAACTCACTGTTTCGCTTTCTTTCTCTTTTCACAAGACTGTCATTTTTTTCTCAGATAGTTGTCTATATGTGCTATAAATAAATCTCAAATTAATCAAGCAATGATTTTGTGTGGCTTACTAGTTGTGGATATTCAGTGTAATAATTTATTTAACAGATGTGGTTACTTTAAATGTATTTACTATACCTTCTGTGAGTAGAAGTTGGTTTAGGATGGTTAAGCTTCAACCTATAGTTACACCGCAACCACACAGCCTGGCTTTTCTGTTCTGAGTGACTAGCTGTATTGATGTCATCCTGTTTTTTATGGCAAGGAAAATTTGAAAATAATGGTCCCATAATATACAAGCATGCATGAGGCCACATTTCAATTGTCAGTAGTGCTTATTTTCAGGTAGATGTGCACTAGTTTGCAGCCTAAAGCTCATTTTCTTTGGGAGTGAGAACATTTCCAGTGAACATTCCATGTGTATTAGAAATACATGGCTGAAATCCTGTTGTCCAGTAAGGATGATTTCATCAGCTCTGGCCCTGTTGCAGCCATTTCAGGGCAATAAAAAGATTTTTAGAACCCCCCTCCTTCAGTTTCTAGAATCCCTGTCATACTGTGGCAATCTTTGGCACCCACAAAACAAAAGGGAGAGCCATAAAAAGCTGGAAAATGGCTGCTGCCGTCCCTTGTGGCATGACAGGGACAGGCAGGAGTTATTTTCTGACTTTAGATTCTTCCACCCCTCCTAAAAGCTGCTCCAGAGTGAACAGAATCCCTAGGGATCCCGCAACCCTGGGGGGGAGGGGTCTAGGAAGGTTTTTATTGTCCCAAAACATCTGTGGCCGATGACATCACCTTTGTTGCATGGCATAGCTCCATTGAGGATTTTAGCCCCCTGGGGGGGAGGGGTCTAGGAAGGTTTTATTGCCCCAAAACATCTGTGGCCGATGACATTGCCTTTGTTGCATGGCACAGCTCCATTGAGGATTTTAGCCTTTGTCTGATAAATATTTGTTACATCGAAGAAGTATTACTGAAGGCATAACTCCAGGTTTAATTGCCTGTACCTCTCTTAAATGTTACCGTATTTGCCGGCGTACAAGATGACTTTTTGGCCCTGAAAAACATGCCTCCAAGTGGGGGGGGTCGTCTTGTATGCCGGGTGCATGTCCAGCAAACCCTCCCTCCCAGCGAAGTCACTTACCTGGTAGTAAGACCGAGTAGAGCCCCACTCCTAGCCTGGGAACAGCTTGACTAGCGCTGAACAGCTGACTGTTGGAACAGCAGACAGGCGGCAGCCATTTTGAGATGTGACCACATGGCTGCCGCCTCTCCAAAATGGCTGCTGCCTCTTTGCTGTTCCTTCTTCCAGCAAACCCTGGCTCTCTCTGAAAAGGAACCAAAAGGAGCAAAAGGAACTCTCCCCATGATGCAGCCAAAGCAGAATCACACATGTGGAAGAGGGGGTAGTCTTATACAGCAAGTATATAACAAACTACATTCTGAGTGGGAATGTCATGGGGTGGTCTTATACGCGCAGTCACCTTATACACCAGCAAATACAGTAATATTCTGAAGAACACATTACAAATCTCATGCACAGATGAATCCCTTTGAATAATGCGCCTTATACACCGGCAAATACGGTAATATTCTGAACACATTACAAATTTCATGCACAGATGAATCCCTTTGAATAATACAGAGGCAGTCCTTGGCTTCTGGAAGTGCCAGCATGAATGCCTCACAAGTCTCCTATCTGCTCACAGTGGTATCCTGTGAAATTTAATAGCAAAGGGTCTGATAGACTAATCTTTTAAAATTTTTTGTTATAAACTGTCATCTTTTAGAATTAACTTTATTGTGCTTGTATAATACTAATTAATTCTATCTGCTTTCCTTTTAAAATCCTGTTGTAGCTAACAATTGATAAATTACTTTTCATTTTGTATATTCTATTACTGCATTTTCTGTGAGACAGTCAACAGCTTTGCTTTCTCTTCAATCTTCATGTTCCTTACATTCTTTCCCCCCCTCCCTCATTCAGTTTTTTTTATGGAATGGAATGGATGGCTGCTTGCTTTTTTTCCAACAGGCAAAAAAAAAAGGTTTTAATAGCTGTTTTTCAAATTATGTGAAATGCAGAGATATTAATTTTAAAAATGTGACTTTTTCACAGGAAAAGTGACGCTCGTCCTGGTTCTTCTGATTCTTACCGTGAAGTCGCACGTAATGATTTAGCAGTGGAAATGAAATGAGGCTATCGAGACTCTGAACTGCTTTCACTGAATTTTTTGCAGTAAAGTCAAGTAATCTTCCAGTTGATGATTCCATATAGTTCTCCACTTGAGAGGAGAAACGGCAGTGGCATGAATTGCTGAGTGAGCTACTGCTATTTTCAATTACTGAAATCATTATGCAGATCCAGAAGTATGAAGAAACAGCCAACCTGAAGAAAACTATTCATTTCTATTTGCTGTGTCTGCATAGTTTTTATTTTATTTTAATTTTTCCATTTCTGTCCTTGCAGTATGTTTCTACAGTGGCAGAATCTCTACCCTAGAGATCTCATTATAATACAGAAATATGGTATAAAACAAGTGTTCTTCAAAGAAGCATTGGCAGTTATTTATCAGAAGACTTTTTTTTCCTTCTCATCACAGGCTTTATCCTATATATCCAGCTCTTGAAGGGATGAAAATATAGCAGTTAAAGTCTGCAACACTTAATTCCTCAGGGTTTCTTCTTACAATTTTAAAATTGCAAATAACTATAATATGTGCCTAATAAAAATGGTAATGCGTTTTGTGCGTGTCAGTGACAACAGGAGATGTGAACACATAACCAAAAAAACCAAAGGACACTTTCAGGACACAACTGTTTCAGTGAGATGAGGTTAAGTAGCTTAAATCTCCTTTTAAAAATGCAAGCAATCAAAAATTCCTGTGCTTCAGGAAAGTTCAGCCTAACCTTGTAATGTAAGAAAGGATTTGCACTATAGTGGGGTGCTGTGGCTTTCCATATATTTTTGGACTGCAATTCTTGTAATCCCCTCCAACTGCTATTGCAGTTAGGTCTGGCAGGAGTCGTTGGACAGGAACATCTGGAGGCCCACAGTTTCCCATTCCTGTACTTATGTGTTTGGAAGTAATGTTGTATTTGTAAATGTAATATTAAACTGTACAAACTTGTACTTGGTTAAGAGAAGAAATATATAGTCTGTATAGAAAATAAAATGTGTTGTTTTTTTAACAGTGCTTGCTAATATAAATAAAGGTCAAATAAAAGATTCCAAGCTTCTACTCAGAAGCAGAACTGATGATTCACTTTAGTTGTTTTTAATGCTGCCTGCAACTGTCAAGTTATGGTTATGCATTATGTATAAATAACAGACAGATGTGGGGGCACAGCTACATATAACTTCTTTATAGCTCTCAGCTAGACATTCTGTCACCTGTTACTTGTAAGTAAAAGCGCCTGAGGTAGAACCTCGAGCCTTTCTGTTTTTTACACATCAAAACTGACCCAGTGCCATTCAGTGTCCCTGCTTTTAGTAAATAAAATACCTTGTTCAGGTTTCAAATAGTATAGCAAGAGAAGACCTTCTGTAGCACTAGCTTTTTAAGTTTATTTTGCTTCTGAAAAATTGCTTTAAACAATAAAGAATGCTGAGCATGATGTTTGCTTTAGAGAATGCCAGCTAGCTCTTGTTTGTAATTTCAAATTATCATGTGTTCTCTTTTTTAAACAAGGTTAACAGACATATTTATTTAAATATAATAAACTGTGGCATGGCTGTCCCTTTTGGAATCATTAAATTATATAATGTGCAGACTTAATTAATAAATTGAGGGTTGCTTCAAACGTCAAGAAGTCCATAAATTATTTTTTGAGTAAGAAACAGCATAACATCTGTTACTGAGTTTACTGAATCTTTGTAATGTGGAATGTGCAAATCACAATAAGATGGAAGGAACAGGGGGAAAGAAGTCTAAATTGACTGCCAAATCCTTGTACTTTTCCCTTAATTGTAGGTAATAGATCTAATTTATGACAAGCACTACTATCTGCTGCTATGTGGTTTTTTTTTTTGTTTGTTTGGGGGGGGGTTGGTACAGGCTTAGCACGACACTGACCAAGGGAAGAAATCGAATCCCGTGTTTAGAGTGTACAGTGCAGTGCAAAAGTGTTTCCCCAAGAGATTTCAAAATGCAGTATTTACTAATTTGAGATAAGAAAAAACACATCTCTCACTCTGAATCAAAACTGTAAATAGACTTTGGACGTCACCATGCCACAAGTTTCTGCTACTGGGAATTGTGCTATTTTAATGTGGAAATTATTACTACGAATATCAGAAATTCATAAGAACATAAGAAGAGCCCTAATGGATCAGTGACCCCACCAGATGCCTCTGGGAGTACACGAGACAACTAGATACCTGTCTACTGATACCCCCTCCCTGCATCTGGCATTAGGAGGTACCGTCCTAAGCCTGGAAATTATAGATCCCCATCATGGCTTGTAACCTGTGATGGACTTTTCCTCCAGGAATCTGTCCAATCCCCTTTTAAAGGCATCTGGGCCAGATGTGCCGTCACCACATCCTGTGTCCAGGAGTTCCACAGACTAACAACACTCTGGGTGAGGAAATATTTTTGTCTGCTCTCACTCTCCCGACACTCAATTTGAGTGGATGTTCTCTGGTTCTGGTATTGTGTGAGAGGGAAAAGAGCTTCCCTCTATCCACTTTATCCATCCCCTGCATAATTTTATATGTCTTATTTCTTCTGAATCAGAGTATTTCTCCTCCAAATATTGTCCACTCTGCCTGGTGACAGCTCTTCAGAATTTCAGGCAGGATTCTTTCCTGCCTCATCCTGTGGTCTCATTCAAGTACTAACCGGACAGAACCCTGCTTAATCAGCACATTCAGGCTGGTAGATCGATAGCTTGATTTATGCAATACCATTCTGTTCTGTTCTCGCAATGTGGAACCAACGTATAGTGACCCTTATGGAGCTTTCAACGTAATCACAATATTCAAGGAGTGGCTTTTACCAGTTTCAGTGTTTCAGTGAGCTTCCATGCTCGAGCAGTCTTCTGGGCCCTACTCCATCACTCTACCCAGGACATCACACTGGGGATATACAATACCATAGGTGTGCCATGACATAATATAATCTTAAAATTTTAAATCCTAGTTAAAAAATAAATAGATGTTGACTGTTAAAGGTTAGTGGCTTTCCTAAACTCTTTGTTGTTCAAAGGTGGCAGCAGGAGCAATCTAGCTTTAATGTAATGAAGCAACTGAAGAAATTATGGAGCCTGAACTGACTACAGCTATTAGCAGCCATACAGGGCTACTAGAGTAAGTCAACAGGTTCAGATGGGGTGTGTTCAGCTGGTATTTAATTTCAAAAAGAATTGACTTATGTATATTTATCTTATGTTCAGTGCCTGTATTTTGCAGACCAAAACATTGCAGGCTCAACTGCCTCCACAGCTAATACAATTCTTTAAGTGCTCACTTTCTATAGCATGCTGCCCAGTTCCCTTTGGGCTTTCTCTCTGAAAGCCCCCATTTTATTTGCTACTTGTTGGTTCTTCCTCTTCTGTGTTTATATATAGCTGCTGTTTAGCTCTGCGAGAAACCTTGTAGCTCTTGGGACCTGAATGAGAACTATGATTCTTCTCTGCACACTCCATCTCTTGTGGGCCTCAGCTACCATCCTGGCTGTTCCTTTGGGGGATCAAGGTGAGAATTCAGAAATTTAAATTTGATTTATTTATTTAAAATATTTTTACCTTGCCTTTCTCCTAAATAAGGAGCAAAGGTGGCTTACATCATTAAAAACACAAAATTTGAAAACAGTAAATTATTCAAATATAAAGAAGAATTAATATATTAAAAATGTTTTCTTCTGCAGTTCTGACTTTCATCTATTTTTCCCATGCCTTGGTTGGAGCTAGCTTGCTGCAAGTAGAGGGGCTAGAACAAGAACCTGGAATGCCTTCACGAGAAAGCAAAGCGAATTCAGACTCCTCCTTTTAAGCTCCATAGTTGGTGTGCCCCCTCCAAAAATTGGCCCTCTTTAAAAAAAAACCAAGCCCCTAGCACTGTAGTCACTGTTTTGCCCAGTTGTTTGCTGCTTGCCGAGAATGCATGGGAAGCAACAGAGACATGGGAATGAATAGGAGGCATACAGAGTACTGGGGCAAAGCAAGACGACACAGCTAGCACCATGATAAAATGATGAGTATTGCCTGCACCACGAGTGCTGTTGTTTTTGCTGCAAGCATGACAATATGGTACATCTTTACTGGGCTTCTAGAAAAGTTAAGCTCCATGTTCATTTTCTGCAGACTTTTGGGAGCTGGAGTGGTGCTGTGCTTCCTAGAGGATTAGGGAGAAAGTAGAGTGTACATGGGATCATGGAGATAGATAACTTGCTGTGATGTAAGAATTCTGAAAAGTGGCTTTAAGAGTGATAAATGGCAAAGGACTCAATGTATATTTACTTATGCTGTGGCATATGGCCCTTGGATCTGTTTTTCAGATATGTATCCTCGTAAGTAGAGGAGTCTTATGCCCAAGTCAATGGGCACAGGATATTTATATGTCTGTATTTATCAAGAATCTCATTTCCAAATGCAGTGTGCTTCTACCAAGGAAAAGGAAAAAAAGTTATTGTGGTGGGGTGTCGAAAGGATTTGATGCTGATGGAATTATGCTATGGGAAAGCGGTATTATGTAGAGGCATCTGTATGTGTGGCACTTAAAAGAATTATTTTTCCCTGATACAAATCCTTTTCAGTTTTGGGGGAGGTAGTTGTGTTTGCTTCAGAAACTGAAGAGTCTTACAAGATTTTGCAAACTAAGTTTAATTTGGCAAAAAAACATGTGGACTGCAGCCCACTTTGTCAGATTCGTGGACTATATACAGGTATTGAGATGAAATGGTGTCTTTAGTGAGATGAGAGGGAACCGAAATGTAGAAAATATAAATACAGATTATTCCCTCAACTTTACTGTATTAAACTGTAGTTGGTTGGTAGCACAGATGTCCCAGCATAGGTAAGGGGAGGATTTCTATGACTTTTCATGTTTTTTCTGCAACCTACATTTGAATCTACAACTCGGGGAGGATTTCTATGACTTTTCACATTTTTTCTGAAACCTACATTTGAATCTACAACTTGTTTCCCTCTGCAATTCTTGCTATTTTCCTTCATTTCCCTCCTCTATTTCCTTCTGGGAATCAGAATACAATGTGTTGTTCATGGGATTTCATGCTGTTTTCTCACTGATCTATATTGGTTTACTGTACAGGAAAGCTGAGAGAAGTTCAAAGTTCTAACATATAAAGCCCTGAACGGTTTAGGACTTCACTAAATGTGTTCTGCCGAGGTCAACTGCCCATTTGATGTGGTCCTCAAAGACCTCGCGCCTGCAGGTGTTAACTCCCATAAAAGCCTGGAAAATGGTAATCAGAAACCGGGCTTTCTTTGCAGTGGTCCTGTCTATGAAATGCTCTCCTGAAATATGACACACACCCTCCTTTTGCATATTTTGAAAGCTCCTAAAAATGGATTTATTCAGAGAAACCTTTGGGGGGAGACTCTCCCAAATTACTGGGACATTGGAGGAAGGAGAAGAGGAATGGTGTAGCATTGTAGCAAGTTCTGGAAATTGTTTTGTCACTTGTGTTGGGTCATGGTTTAAGTTTGGGATAGCTTATTGTCTGTGTTAGTGTATAATGTATGCTTAATTTCTTGTACACCTCCCAAAGTGGCAATATGCTTTTTGGATGGTATATAAATTAAATGAATGAATTAATTAATTTGTCATCAGTTAAAAAAACCCTGATGGCAAGGAACTGTAGTGAGTCAATTAAACACCACTTACATCAGCAAGTTTACCTGGTTCCCTGTTCCTATTAATTCCACGACAACTCTCTAAGGTAAGCTTGGCCACGTGACAGTATCTGGCCAGAGGTCACCCAGTAACAAGGTTTGTAAGGGAGCAGGAATTGGATTTTGACTCTTCTGCCTGTGCCAAGTCCAGGTCTCCAAAGATTATTATCTTTGATCCTCTCCATTTATTGCTTGCTTTATAAATGATACTACATTGGTAAGGAAAATGCAATATTAATATGCTTAATTCCTATGATATGCTAATTTGTGTGCTGGACTAATTTGCATGAAACAGATAATATTTAGATTAGGCCACCTAGGTTTGTGGAATTGTGATATGGTGACCCTATTTATAATCGATAATAAAAAACAAGTGGTGTTGATGATAAGGAGTACTCTATGGGGGCTGTCCTTGAAGAGGATCTGACATTTTTGGCTGATGTAATATATGACAGCTAGTTTGCACAGTACAAAAATCAGTTAACCCTGATCCTGAAAAACCTGTACACATTACAAGTAGCATGCTAGACCCAATTCAAGATACTGTACTACCTTTAGCCTTCAAAGCACTAAATGGTTTTGGTCCAGCTATCTAAGGGGCTATTTGTCTCATTATGAACTACTGTGTTTCCCCGAAAATAAGACAGGGTCTTATATTAATTTTTGCTACAAAATGCATTAGGGCTTATTTTCAGGGGATTTTTATTTACCACAATTTACATTTATTCAAATACAGTCATGTCATCTTCTTCTAGTTGCTGGAGGGCGAGGTTTCACTTAACTGGGACTTATTTTGGGGGTAGCGCTTATATTACAAGCATCCTGAAAAACCATACTACGGCTTATTTTCAGGTCAGGTACTGATAGTAAATCAGGGAGGCCTTCTTGAGAATACTCACATGAGTTGAGGCCATCTTGGCAGGTTCATAGGAGAGGGCTTTCTCCTGAATGGTTCCCTGGCACTAGATGGGCGGGGAAGGACGGACGGACGGACGGACAGACACCCCCAAGTGATGCAGTACACTTTTCACTCTCAATGCTTTCAGGAAGGTTGTGAAGATGCATCTCTTCCAACTGTCTTGCAATAGCATTAATGAACTGTGGTGATTTTAACTGTTCATCAATGTTTGGGTTTTTTTTATGGTTGCATTTTCATTTTGCTTGATGTTAATGAGTTTATGCTTGAATTTTACTTGCTTCAATCCCATTGTACTGATTATAAACACTGCCTTCCAAAACAACTGCAGGGGTACAAATTGCCCATCCCTCCCTTGGAAACAAAGACACTTTGAACAATTGCCTCCATTATAATGTACAAGATTTACATAAAGATACAACAATACAATGGGGAAAACCAATAGTGAAGTTGTAGAGGGAAGTGATGGCAAATTCCCCAAGTTCCCTTATGGATTGCTGTAAATCTATAAAAGTACCATCTGACTGTTTACCTGGAAGAAGATAAAAGCTTCCAATAAATAGCAAATGCCCCTAATGTATATGTAGGGGAATTGTTTAGAAAACATAGCTTCCTAGTTCGTCATAGGACATTTCTTGCTTTGTACAGTGAGCTTACTGCATCCCAAAGAGTGCATATTTTTGTATGTGGACATCACAATAATTTGGGTTTTGTTATTGATGTTTTATATACAGTTAAGCTAATATATGATTAGAAGTATTTTTATTAGGAATCATTTTTCATCATGACTAGTTCTGCAGTACTTAAAGCACAATCTTGTACATGTTTATATGGAAGAAAGCCCCACTGAGCTTTACTCTCAGGTAAGTGTGCAAAGCAATTTAACTATAGTAGTAGTTAAGCTTGAAGATTCATGTAGCAAATAAATGATTCTGCCACATCACAAAATTCATATGTGTTTATGACAGTTTTAAGAGCCAGACAAAGTATTAAGAATTCTTTGGGGTCAACTGGAATATCTGAGTTTCTGTCCTGAGGCTGGAAATGCCCACTTTCCATTATTACACAATTATACAATTATTCAATATATATATAATGACCAATTGATATAGTGACCAATTGATTACCATAATGCCTCTAGTCTTTATCCCCTAAATCAGTGGTTCTTAACCTTTGTTACTCAGATGCTTTTGAACTGCAACTCCCAGAAACCCCAGTCAGCACAGTTGGTGGTGAAGGCTTCTGGGAGTTGCAGTCCAAAACTCCTGAGTAACCCAAGGTTAAGAACCAGTGCCCTAAATGACCACAGACCTTTTTTCTATTAAAGCTGAAAATTCACAGGTGACCATGGAATATCCCTGAAAGAACTGGGCTCCCACATCCTCTTATGACAATCATCCTGATATTTATTAGGCAAAATCCAAAGAAACAAAACAAAACAAAACAAGACAAAAACATGGCACCTTAAAGGCTAACTATTATAGTTAAGTTTTCATGAACACTCCCACTTTGTCTTTTCTGTATTAGAGACAGAAGAAGCTGAGGTCAGGGACAACATTCAAGAGTGTATTTCAACTGTGTTACAACAAATAATGTGTTGTAAGGTTCCATTAACCCCAGAACTGTTCTTATTGAGTATGATACCAGATAAAATAGATAAAGCAAAGAAATGTATAGTAATATATATAGTTACTGCAGCTAGAATTCTTTACGCTAAAAATTGGAACAGGTGGTGCCGAAACAAGAAGATCTTACAGAAATGATAAAGGAAACGGCAGAAATGGACATTTTATTAGAAGTAATGAAGGACTATCCATTACAAAAGGCAACAAAAAGATGGGACTTATTTCATAAATGGTTAGAGTCATCAGATAGTGCTTGAATAACATACCGTATTTGCCGGCGTACAAGGCGACCGGCCCTATAAGACGACCCCCCCTACAGAAGAGGCTGGGCGGGCGGCGGCAGGAGGAGGAGGAAGAGGAGGAAAAGGGAAATGGGTAGGTGGCAGGTGAGCGAGCATGCTGGCTCAGCAGCAAGAGAGCGAGGAAGAGGGCAAGAGGCTGAGCAGGCGGCAGCAGGAGGAGGAGGAAAAGGGAAACGGGCAGGTGGTGGGCGAGCAAGCGTGCAGCTCACTCAGTGGCGTGGGGTGGCGGGCAGCCCGGCAGCGGGTTCTGGCCGCTCAGGCATGGCAGGCTGTGCTTCCCTCCCTCCATCCAAACCGACTGCCTGCCTGCCTTTCTGCCTGCCCGCCTGCCTTCCTCCCCAACCAGCGCGGCCCTGCGTCACTCACTCAGTGGTGGTGGCGGCTCCTTCCTGGCCCAGATGAAGTGCACCCGGCGTACAAGACGACCCTCCCCACTTGGAGGCATGTTTTTTGGGCCCCAAAAGTCATCTTGTATGCCGGCAAATACGGTAGATCCAAATGTGAATTAAAATATGGAAGGCAGAAAACAGTAGAACAGCTGAGCTTGAATCTTGATATTTCAATACGAATAGAATGGATGTTAGTATATTTTTGTTTCTCCTCTCCCCTAACCCAAATCCTTTTCCCCTTCCTTTTACCTTTTGTATCCCATACCCCAACCCAAGTTATCCAAAGAATAAAAATTAAAGAGTGTATTTCTGCTGAATCCCACTGCTTCTGATTCAGGCAATATTCCTTCCTATAGCCCACATGCTCCCTGAAATCCTTTCTAGAGAACTGAGAAGTCATCTAAAACAGGTTTTTATAGAAGGGCTTCAGCAGGAGGGGAAAGAAGTGCCAATTCCACTGGCAGGTGGAATAAAAAAGGGCATGATTGGATCTTCCAGCTCATAACTATATACTCACTGGACCTAACTTTCTACATCTGTTCTTTAGCACTGGGTCACTGCAGTCTGCCACCTAGGCTAGATTTTGCTGAGCCTGCTGATGAGCATAAAGAAAAAAATTCCTTTCCTGTTGGGTCCTCTGTGACGTACCAGTGCCGCCCAGGCTACATAAAACCCCCTGGATTGAAATACACTAGTACTTGCCTTCAAAACCAGACGTGGTCCATCATTCGGGAGCTCTGCCAAAGTGAGTTTAATTTCCTTGTTTGCAAGAACTACAGCATAACCAACTTAAATTGACTAAAATCCTGTTTTGTGAGTTATGCCATGTTAAGGCTGATGACATTAGCCACATGCCCAGAATTTCAGCCATTACATATAAGAATGAGAGATAATGTCACTCGTTTGATTGTGCCATTTTTAGAATTATGTACTTATACCACTGCATTGTTGTGTGGTCTCACTTTGTGGGCAGTTCAAAAGCCACAGAGCATTCCAATGCCCATCCACTCCCAGATTGTACACCTCCTTCTATTATTTTAGTAGAAAGATGGGATATACACTGTAATAATAAATGTGTCCAGCGCTGCAGTGTGGTTCTCTTTCTTTCTTTCCTTCCTTTCTTCTACCCCAATACATTGAATTGCCTAGCCCAAAACTTTACACTGTAAACCTCGGGCAAAACGCAATAGATTTGTTGGGGCAATTTTTGTGGTAGCTGTTTTGGTCTGTAAAATAATAATAATAATCGCAGAACTGTACATGAGGCAACTCAGAGACACTGTTTACCATTACTGACATTGCAAAAGACTACCTGATTTAAATGTCCTGCCCATGTGGATTAAGACTTTAACATTGTTTTCACTTTTGATAATACAAAAGTGAATAGTTACCTTTCAAACATTGTAACTACAGTGGCAATGACCCTCTGGGCTCTGGAATAATAATTGTATTTAATTATGCTTTTAAAGTAGCTGTCCAAACTCTGACTCTTAATCAGCCTTATCAGTCTTGAAGTACTTATGAGAGAGAAACACAGTTCAATGCATAGTGCCTCAATGATGGCAGATATCATTTGATTCGTATTCCTGCATTGAGTGAGCAGAGGATTGGGCTTGATGCCTTATAGACCCCATTCAACGTTGTGATTCTATGATATTAATATGTTATTTAAATAAAGTCATGCAATTTTGTCCTTGTGACTTAAAATATTTTTAGACAACATCAGTATAAAGCATTCACACTTTTTGGCACTTAATTATGGAAAAATAAACAGCTTTAGCTTTGGTTTCTCTTAGAACGAACATGTGCACATCCTGGAGAACCAGAGAATGGGAGGCTGGTTTCATCAGGAAATTTTCTCTTTGGTTCTCGTGTAGATTACATTTGTGAAGAAGGGTAAGTATTAAGGAAAACTATCAAATTTGTCACTTTTCTCCATCTCTTCTCCTCTCTTCCTTTATCAGCTGCACAAAACAATACAAAAGAATCTGGCCAGTAAACTCAAAGCATTGTTGGGCTTCTGGTGGCAGGGCAGGAGACAGCCTGGGAGGAGTAGCATTTGGTTCCCCTACTCCCCCCCCCATTTTTCTTAAACGTCAGTTGCCTCCTCTTTTAAGCAGAGGCTGGGAAATTATTTATAACAGCTCAAGGGTATTTGGGGGGGAGGGATTTGATCTGTCCATCTCATGCCGTTGACCTTTTCCATATTCACCTCCCCTCCTGCTGGAACTCCAGCACCAGTGAAATAATGGTTGCCAACATTTGTATGGAGGCTGAGAGGACACACCTGCAGTTGAATCATTCTTTGTTCCTTAGAATACCCTTCCAATAACCATAGGATTGCAGTCTAAGCAATTGCTTGCTACCTCAGAAGTAATGGAAGCCAGGGATTACACAGTGGGAGAAAAGAGTGTCCAGAGGGCTTGTCTGAAACCTGGACGTATTGCTAGTCTGTGGCTGACTTAAGTTCCAGTCCTGTGGTTGGGTGAAGGGTGCCTCAAAGGCTTAAGATTATTTGTACTTCTCTTACAAAGTTAGACAGAGAAATCTACTCTTTCTTAGCTCCCACAGGATGCACCTTAATGTGAGTCTAAGTAGCTGATGATTTATCTAAATTCTGTAGACATGAAAGAAGATTTGATGATTTCTTCATTTCTTCTGTTTCAACACAGTTATAGGCTGATTGGTAAGTCTTCCAGAATGTGTGTGATACATGACAAAGGAGTGCAGTGGACAGGGAACATTCCATTATGTCAACGTGAGTGTTAACTATCTTGATATCTGTGCCTTTTATAGCATTCTTATGTGGTACAATTTCAAAAATGATGCAAAATGAAAATGGCAAAAAAAAAAAAAAAGGAAAAGGAAATGCATGTGTTCATCAAGCAATCTTACCAAGACAGAACAAGCCCAAGTCATCTGTGACCAATTATGGGACTGAGGTGTAGAGCTCACATTCAAAAATAGAGCACAATCTACCACTAATTTCCTTTCTGCATGTCTCACTGAAGAGAATGAATCTTGTGAGAAGGGAAGATTTGCATATATCACCTATTTTAGTGAAGTTTGTGCAAGAGATGTTCCTAGCAGATAGGCTTTTTACAATAATCTTCTAAACTTCTGTATATGGTAAACAGAGGTGATTAAAATATTGTGAGTGAAATAACTGTCCCTGTCTCTGTGTAAGCATGTCTCTTACTGCAAGAAATTAAAATAATCAGCACAAATGAATGAATGCTGAATATAATGCAGTGTCCCATAACCAGTGTCCTGAAATGCTCAATTACCTTTTGCTCCCTGGCAATGCTTTCCTAACATTTGGAAAATAATTTACAGCATATGGAATTCTTCTTTCTTATTAGCCAAATGCTTTAATTAGTGACCATACTCCAAAATCATCAGAGCCATGTAGGAACATAATAAAATCATATAGTAATTGGAAGATTAAAGAGATTTGTAATAAAATCCAAAAATTAGTAAGTTTGCTCAAATATTCTATTTAAGAAAAGTAAATAAAATAAACCTTCTTTTTTTTAAAAAAAAAAATGGATCTTCTCCTTCTCCTTCCTAATGCACTTATATAACTTACAGCTGCTTCCAGTTTATAGTGACCCTCTCAGAAAGTTACCTCCAAAAAATTCCTGTCTTAAGCACCATTGCTCAGTTCTTGCAAATACAAAGCCGTGCCTTCCTGCATTGAGTCAATCTGCCATATGTACTTCCTATTTTTCTGTTCCCTTCAAGTTTTCCCTCTATTGTTGTCTTTACCAGTGAGTCCCACTCCCCAGAAATTGTTTGGCTTTCTAGAAATGAGGACTTTTGCCTTATGTGATCAGACAGACAAGACTGAAATAGGTTGTTCAGTTCCTATTAGTCATATCATCTGAAATTCTGACCAATAAGAATGGAGCAACCTATTTCAGTCAAGGACCTACCTGAGGTTTTACACTCGTTGTGTCCAGCAGACCTTCCAGTAGGTGTCAGGCAAGATCAAACAGCTGCACAGAATGCTGGCCATAGCGACTCCCTCACAGATAGATATGCATTGCAACAGTTAATCAGACTCACACAAAGAAATCAAAGTTATAGGCTTTATATACGATTGAGATGCAACTTAACGAATCTCAGGGTCAAACTAGATTAGATGATCAGCTCACATTTAGAAGTTAGTATTAGCCCATTTCCCCTCCCTCAACAGGGATCAAGGAAAGTGGTTGACTGTCCTTCTTTGGAGGTTTACATACGGTGTTGACTTGAATAATTCAATCCCAGATGTTTTTTTTTGCCACTGGCTTGCTTGCCTTAAAGTAAAACAAAACACTCCAAGATTTGCCTCTTATATGTGCCTTCTGATTGCTTCTCCCTGTAGGTATCCCATGTCTCCGACCGCCAGACATTCCTCATGGCACACACAGTGGCAGATACGAGGATGACTTCACTTATGGGACAGTCGTAACATATACCTGTGAAGACGGCTACCCGCTTTTCGGAGATGCCCACATTCACTGTACCTCTAAGGATGGATTCAATGGAGAGTGGAGTGGTCGTGCATATTGTGGAGGTGTGCTTTTCACTTCTCCTATGCTTTGTGGAGAAAAGACTTAACATGCATTCAATCCTATTTTGGAAGTACTGAATTTTGGTAGTAAAATTATTTTCATATCCTCTCCTTCCCTAAAATAATACTGTAATCTGATATCAATGCTTATTGCTCAGAAGCTAGTCAAAGGTAAAGCATGATATGGCATCTAAGGAGACAAAGAGAAAGCTACTAAAAAAAACCACAGTAGTTTTCTTCCTCTTTTCATTGTTCTAAAATGTCTTCTTTTTTCAGTGACAGAATGTCCACAGCCACACATTGAGAATGGAAGGATTGTGGCTGGTGTTTCTAAAACTTACAAATATAACCAAAGTGTTATCTTTGACTGCAACAATGGCCACATGATATCTGGCTTAAGAGAGATCCGTTGCCAGATGGATGGCACATGGGAGCCTCCTCTACCTCACTGTAAACGGAGTAAGTATACCTATGAAGTTCATACATTGTAACAGCAAGATCTATAACAAGGAGGTCAACTAGCTAGCAGGGATGTGCACAGAAATATAGTATATCTTGTGTACATGGATGTACATGGAAGAAAAAGTCTCTTTCAGGTTCTCCTGGATTTCCCATTCATATTTCCTGAATCTAGCCCAAGTGAACTCCTACAAAATTCCTGAAAATCACCCCCAAAAAGCAGAGAGCAGATAATCAATGTACTCCCAAAAGCTAGTAACAGTATATGACAATTTAAAATCATCATCAGACATATGTAAAAATTTTTACTCACCCTTCAAGCAATTCAAATAGCAAAAACATACCAAAGAATTAGAAAAGATAAAACAAAAGTGTGAATTCAGTGCCATTGACCCAGCACAACAGAGACTCTCTGGGCCTAGGAAGGAGAACAGGGAAAAAAGGCAAGGAAGCAGCCAGCCATTCCTTCAACAACAACAAAAAACCAAGAAGAAAATAGTTCTAGAGGTTATTCCCTTGTGTTTAGTGTGAAGCCAAATTGTGATTTTTCTCTTCTTATTAGGAGTTACGGGCTGCAGAACTTTAGAAATTCAGAATGGAAGAATAACTAGAGCACAAGTGGTTTATAAACCCATGGAAGCAATTACATTTGATTGTGACCCTGGCTATGTTCTGAAAGGCAACCGTACAATTCAGTGCCAGTTTGACAACACATGGGATTCTCCTGTGCCTATCTGTGTGAGGGGTACATACCATGGCTAGATGTTATTCTCTGGAGATGAGCAGAAACACTGTAATGGTTCCTGGGGTTGGGGTAGTCTTTGACAATTTTGAATTCAAAACTTGAAAGGAATGTTGTTGATAAAAAGTACTTCCCGTTTGTTCTTTGGCAAGAAGGAATGCAGTAAAAACCATATAAATGCACTTCCCCTTAATCATTCATTTTGCATACTTATAGGTACACTTGTCTAGAGCTAATTAGGTTTGTTTAAAGAAATAAAATGAAAACAACATTGATTAGGTGATGGTCAGGCACATTTCTAAATGCACTTTTTCCATCCTTACATTCTCTTTTCTCCTTCCAGCTGTGCGGTGCCAGCCCCCACCAGATGTGCCAAATGGGAGTTACAGGAACCAGGAAGACGCAGCATTTACCCCTGAAATGTTTGTGATTTACACCTGTGATCCTGGCTATGCTCTTATTGGAGAGGCCAGTATTTATTGCACTTCATCAGGGACATGGTCTTCCCCTGCCCCTCGATGTGAAGGTAAATTTTGTCACTACGAGGTTGTCCATTCTGACAAACCACAGCACTAAAAATAAGTATTCACACTCAAGGCAAAGCAAAAGTGAAGTGTGCTGCTTTTATACTGCCGTGCAGAATTTAAAGCACTCTCTGGGTAATGAACAATTCAATTATGTAGGCTGCTTATGTACTTCTTTCCTGACCCCCACTTTCCGCCTTAAAAAGAACCCAAGGCGGCTTACATAATTGAAAGACAATATTTAAAAGCTAAAACAAAGAGCATAAAAAAGCAAACTACATCATTATAAGACAGTTATAAGTTAAAAACAGTAAGTATACAAATATTAAAATCCAACAAACAAAAGCCATACTGAGAAATGATAAACTTTAGCAGTACAAAAAACACAGTCAAAGTGCCAATGTGTAACAATCCCTCTAAAAATCACACTAGGATAGCCAGTCACTGTGACGTTTTCCCCGTGGCCCCTGCTTGTTTCACCAAACACAGAGCTCACCCGAGTATCCCAACACGTCCTTTCCCACGCTGCCACCAGTTGGTCTCTTTATCAATCCTTATTTCCTATTAAAGACTGAGGTCCATTCACTTTTTAACAAAAAACTTGATTACAAGTTGTTTTAGGAATAGTTCTAAAGCACATTCTTGAAATTATGCAAAGTTTAAGTATTTTATTTTAACCTCCTCTATCTTAATTAATACAGGTCACACTCTGACTAATCACTCCTTAAACACACTCTCTCTGTGTGTCAAACCCCCAAACGCTTTTCCCTTCTCTGTCTCTGACTGAACTGACTAAACCAGCAGTCTCAAGCATGCGGCCCGGGGGCCATTTGCGGCCCGCCAGACGATAGTTTGCAGCCCCCACCTTGCTTGCCCCCCCAAAGCGCCCACACATCCTCTGCTGTCAAGTGTCCAAAAAAAAAAACTTGCCTTGCTTGCCGGCTCTCCCCCAAGATAGCACCTCTTGCACCCTCCATCCGGAACTGCCCCCTGCCAGCCAGCCCGCCTGTCTGTTGGCTGGTAGGGTGCAGTTCCGGATGGAGGATGAAAGAAGTGCTCTCTTGGGGGAGAGCTGGTGAGCGAGACACACTGCCGGCCCTTTCCCCTGAGCACCCGAGTCACCGCCGAGCAATGCTTGAGAGCGGAGCTCGCTCCCGGCCCCTCCTTGAAGAGTGCCTCCAAGCCGCCAACAGCAGCTGCCAGCGCCACTGCCTCTTCCAGGGAAGTGGCTCTCTGGCTCTCCGCACCCCCAGCACCAGCCCGGCCAGCGGCCGCCTCAGCACCCAGTGGTAATTCCTCCTCCTCCTCCTCCTCCTCCTCCTGCTTCAGTCGCCTCAGCTCTGGAGGCTGCCTGGGCTCGCCTTGCAAAGTTTGCTCCCCTGTCGTGGTGGGGGTAGCTGCTGCTGCTGAGTGTGCCTTTTTTTGAGGGGGGCCCTCAGAGGAAGGTTGCTGGACCTCCGCACATGTGTGCGCGTGCAGGCACCTGTGGGGGGCCCACCCCATTCCATTTAATTTCACAGGTACCGATGGGGGCTTTTCTCCTTTGGCAAGGCAATTCTGTGAGGGTTTTAAAAAATGTTATGTCGTGCCCTCCTCCCCCTGCTAGGCAGTTGCCAGCGCTCCCTCCCTTCTCCGCTTCTTTGTCCTGCTGCTGCTGCTGGTAGCGAAGAAGGAGCCAGAGGGGGTCATGGCCGAGCGACAGGGTCTCACACACCCCTCCTCCTCCTCCTCGAAGCCCCAGCTGGGCTAAGGAAACCCCTGGGTGGCTTCCTCAGGTTCTTGCTCTGCTTGGCAGAAAATCTGATGCGGCCCAGCCTCACCCAGACTCTGACTCCAGTGGCCCCCAAGTAAATTAAGTTTGAGACCCCTGGAGTAAACTCTGACTCACTCCTCCCTCCTAGTTTCTCTGGCTCCGCCTCCCAACAGTTCCCATTGGTGCAGGCTAATACCATTATATATATAGGAAGACAGGGTATTCGCTATATACCTCCTCCCTTAATAAGTTTGCTCTATGAGAGGAAACCCAGCAGTTTGCACTCATAAACAAACAGCTAAGTACATGCAAATATAACAATAACTTACCAATATTTATACATACCTTATAATACAGTTTTCTATCCATTACTAGGTTTACTAGCTCAAACTTACCACTTAATAA